TAATTGAGGTGAATTTTCAAATTTCAAAGACCATATTTTACGACAACGAAACTTGGTGCAGTAACACAGTAACACAACAAAGCCCTTTTACAACACCTCACTTATTTCAAATTGTTCGAATTCCAAGCACACTACTTTTTGCCCCGAACATCATTGACGAATTATCAAAAGAAAATTACTATTGTTTACTAATAAACATCCAGTTCTTGCTAGCTAGGTGAAATGTTGAACAGTAACTATCAACACTTTAATCTGTTTCTTCTCACTGAGCAGTACTCACTTTTAATCATGATAACAACCAAATAGTTTATATATCGTCTTGCAGTTGTTACTACATAGCTTATTTTTAGTTTCAACTTCTTGTTCGCCCTGTAGCATAAAAATACCAGTCAACTTCTACCTCACGTTATTATTTTCAGTACACCTTAGCAATAGACAAGTTGAAAAACTGAGATTAATAAATTTTTTTATTGTCAATATACAAACCTAATTTCCACAGCTTGCTAGATTGCAGAAGGTAAAGATGTTTAAAATCTTTAATATAAAGTAAGACACTGTTCAAAAGTACCGTCAACGTTGGATTTTTTTGTTTAAAAGTTAACAGTAATAATTAGAATTGTAATGTCCATTAGTAATTAAATTTTGAAAGCTTTGAGAAGCAATTTGCACGTTGTAAATTTTTAGAGTGTATTTAAATGGGGTAATTTGTTTGACAAACTTGAGCGATTGGTTCCCAAGCATTACTGATACCATACGCTTTTTTCAGAAAAGAAATAGCATTCTTGACTGGTTTTGTTGTAGAAAAAGCTAACTGATAATGACAAATGCCAGTGTCAAGAAGTAATTCAATTGTGCTCTCTGTGCTCAGAATGCTGGAGCGATAACAAATTTTGAGCAGGACCTACGTCTGCTCTAAAGCATGTATCTGTTTCGCCAAGGTATGCAAACAGTCGATAAAGATTAATGCAAAAAAATTTTTTATTTTAAAAACTTTTCCAAAGATTGATAAATCAGTTTACAAATTTACGACAAAAGAGGTTGTTAAGACAATGCCAGTACAAAAAGACATATTGAAATGGAAAAGAAATAAATTTGGTAAAAAAGCAACGAGTTTCAGTCTTCTAGAAAAATTCCTGAAGAAAAAACGCTTATTGTGAAGAGACTTCGAAAAATTCTTCTACAACTCGTTCAGATCTTCTAAGGGCCAGGATTTCCGCCGGCACCACCACCACCACCACCACCACCAGCAGCAGCAACAGCTGCAAATATAAAAACGACTTTATCTTTTACTTTTCTACACGTTTTTTGAAAAACAGAAAAGAATTTAAAGTAAAAATAATGGAAATTAATGTATTCTTCTTTTTCTGCACTTTGGTTAAAATTTGTAGGAAATCGTTAAAGTCGATTTTCTCCGAAATAAGTTGAAAACTCAAAAACTGCTCACGTAAAGCACAAAAGCCAAAACGACACTCCTCTGTAGCTTGACACTCGTTCCCATTTGGACACTCTAAATAATTGGCTTACTGTCAAGCGATAAACAAAGTGAAAAAAATTTTAAATCGTTTCAGGTGACGCGACATTAAGTTTCGCTTACAGGCTTATCCAAGTGGCACAAATTTTTCCAGTTTTTTATCAATGACTTTTTCCAGTGAAACGTAACTTTTTTCCGAGACAGTAAATGCAATTTAATTAAAAAGAACCGCAGAAGTTTCAAACTAGTACTTACCAGCAGTCGGCGGCAAACACGTGCCACTTTGGCATAATGTCGTTGGGTCACATTCCCCATCGTCAGCACATTTTTGTTGCTCTAAAAACAGCGGTATCCCTCGAGGAAAAAATTTAAAGACACTTCAGGTAACTCTGTTTCATCAAAAAGGCTCAAGAAACAGCTTCTCCTAGCAACAAGTTATTTTGTGACAAACCTCATGATCAATCCATTAACAGTTCAGCCAACTTACTGCTTTTTTCCTTTCTGTATAAAACACTTCTATGTCCTAGCAGCATTTAAGTTGCTTAAAAGAGGAAGTCATTTATCTTGTTCTCTCCAAAATTCCCTTGACCCACTTAGTACTAATCATTTTAAAAGGGCGTAGTTGGTGCAACAGCAGAGAATGCACGAAAACGCTTACGTGGAGACGAACCCGGAGCTGCAAAAGACTAATATGTATTATTCTTCTGTTTGAAAGTGAAAATCAGGAAGGACAGCATAAGCAGTCTTTCCATCAGTCGTTAACCAATTAAAATATTAAAGCATACGCAATCCACAGAAGTTGAATCGGCAGGTCTGTCCTGTTTGACAATCTGCATCTACGTTGCAGCCTAGAAAATTCAACAAAAAGTATCTTTCACAATGCACTGGAAGGCTTATGGATGTGTATACTTTAGTTCTGTAGTGCTTAAACAGTGAGAATTTTGACACTACTTACTATTAAGAAGGTGACTAAAATTTTTTATTAAAATTAAATATAACTTAAAAAACTAGAAAAAAACGTACAAAAGAAAGGGAAAACTCTGAATTAAATTATCAAATTGAAAAGAGAACAATAAAACGTTCCCAACCTCAACGACTCTTTATTAAATAATAAATATTAAGAAAATGAAAATTTCTTATGATTAAGGAGCCAACAACTTTTTAGCTTGTTACTGTTACTTACTGCTTCCATACGGCAAACATTGACCATTCTGACACAGCTCTGTTATTCCACACTCTCCGTCCGCAGTGCAAGCTTTCCCAGCTGCTAAAAAAGTTCTTCAACGAGTTATCTCATTGGCTTTATATTTCACGATATCGATGGTGTTAACTGTTAATTATACCGTAAAAAGTACCAAGTGACTTCAAAGAGACAGTGTACCGCACCATTTTACTGTACTTCTATGCTTTTATTGTTGGAATAAAAAAATGTGTTTTTCATAAAGAATTAGCAAAATAAAAAACAAATTTTCCACTCAGGTAACCATAAAAGTTAAATGAAAAAATTGAGTTAAAAGCAATTGTTAGTGTTCTTGTGCATGTGATAGCGACTAATTTTAAAATATTTATTGAAATGAAAAGCATAACAAAAATGACCCGCTGCTTTTTTCGTTGTTGCTGTTGATTTTGGAGTAGTTGCCACAGTTGCAGGAGCTGTAAAACAAAGACGTTCTTTTTACTCTTTTACCGTATATAAGATTAGTTTACAGAAACGTATTTCTCAACAGTACCTTTTAAACAAAAGTGAAGAAAACTCACGGAAGCCACAGTATCCATATCGACACGTTTCTCCAGTTGAGCAGTCAGTATCTGCCTGGCATTGCTCTAAAAACAAGTTTTAGAAATACAAAAATTATTAAATGAGAATATGCAATTAATAAGAAGTTATAAGAAGTTTCTAAAGCTAAAGATTGCTTTTTTTTTCTACCGAAAGCATAATATTAACGACGGTATTTTACTGTTCTCTCAAAACACTAATGTTTTTGATTTTAATTATTGCATACTGTTTCCATGTGTCAAGCATTGTCCATTTTGGCATAATTCGTAAACACTGCATTGACTGTCGCTGGTACAACCTTTTGGAGCTGTAATGAACCGTAACTTCATTTTGAGCCAAATGTTTTATCTATTTGTGCTTTTTCACCACTTCCAGAAAGTTTTTCAGTAATATTACAAAGTCATTATGTCAAACAAAAAATGGGTAATTTCATCGTTTAAATGTTTATTTATCAGAGGTCTGTAGTAAAAAACTCATAAAAACTCAAAAAGAGGTATACATTGAACTGAACAATTCATTGTCTCATAGAAAACTGAGGCACCATTTAGAACATTCGGAGTTGTCTCAAAAATACTGAAGTAACTGTGACTTTCTGCATGAATTATAATAAAACCGAAAAAAAAGAATAATTAAAGCTGAAAATTTTTTTTGGGATTTTTTCAAAGTAATCAGTAGTTTTTGTTGGCGAAACAGGAAGCAACGTGACAACACCGACTATAGATTTATCGCTGTGCTATATAAAACTAACCGGCTATTATAGTTGTAACTAACGTTGTTGCTGAAACAAATTTCAAAGACTTGCTGAAATTTTCCCAGCGCAAAATAATTAGTCTCTTATTTACCTGAGCCGCTCTTCTTGCAGACCACTATCTGGTCCATTCTGTGGAAGTTACAATTTTTAATATCCCAGAAAGAGTCAACTGGATTGTTAGCGCCAACCATCACACATTGTTCGTCTGGCGTTGCCTGAGTTGTCCTGAAGTTGTTGTACGAGTAGGCGTTGCGGTCAGCCCACTCCCACGTAGATCCGCTTTTTTCTAGCCCAATCCAGTATGCCTTTTTCGGACTAGTATATCTACCTGAAAAATTTTTTTGGCAAATATTAATCTTATTTGTGTCACAAATTTTAATTCATATAATTTGCTTATTCTGCAGTGAATGGCAACTTTCTAATTTTTAAAATTTTATTTATCAAAGAAACAAAAAAGGAAATTTTTGAACTACTGAGTAAGAAAAATTAAAGAATTTCAAGAAAGTTACTGCAGGGAACTGCATGCGGATATTTTCCGTGTTTCTTGTGCCGCAATGATTTCGTCAAGTAAAAATCTGCATGCTTTAATTTTTACAAAATGTAAAAATACAACTTACTGTCGATAAAGTTCTGTTCTGCTTGTGACAACAGCGAGACTACATTACTGTTGAACTTTTTGCAAAGAACTGTTGCGGCAGCGTATGTTGCATAACCGGTAAACTAAACAAAATACAAGTTGTTAAAAAACTTTCTGCTGCTTTCTTTCTTTGCTTTCTGTTTTTCCTCTGAAAGTTTTTGGAAACTAAGCTTCCGATTTTTTACTGCCTTGTTTGTTATTAATTAACGTAAATATCTACAGTTGTTAAACCGCAACTTGGAAATAAAGAAATATGTAAATTAGGTTGACCGCAGAGCAATTTAAATCCAATTCTTTTTTTTTTTCAATGACTTGGCTCTTTAATTTGCTGCTCACATACAAGTTTAGTTCCTGATTCTAAAAGATACGTATTCTATTTTCTTGTAATAAAAATATTCAAAGCTGTTTTAGTTCAACAATCTTTTTTCTCCAGCCGATCAAGTCACTGAATTATAGCCCTAATTAACGTTTATGTGTTTTATTATAATTCTGACGGAGATGCTGCCGCCATATTGAAACAGAACCAAAAATTTGCTTTGTTAGATTTTTTTGCTAAATTTTTTTGGAATTTGTAAAGAGAAAGATATTTACTGCACAGTATTCGTTTCCGTTATATGTGGTCCAAGTAGCACTGCTACATAGACTCAACTGCTGTCCTGAAATAAACGCTTTGGCGATTTCATGGATATTTTGACAACGTGAGAAACACCCAACTGTAGCTGAAGAGCTTAAAAGTTGTGCTGAAGAAGTTACAATAGAACGTACCCGAGAATATCGGAAGGAAGATACTGAGAAGTAGCAGTTGCAACATTGCTGTTTCCTCAAACTACAGAACTCTTCAACACAGGTGGCATTTAAATACACCTTTAACAGCCAAAAAACCAAATTTGATAAGAAAATTTTTAACTGTGATAAAAACTGTTGAAACAAAGAACAAAATCAAAATTATAAACCAACTGTTAATTTTGAAAAAATTTACAATTTTTTTTGTTATGCAAAACCGTTTTAAACCGAAACAAGGATTTTTTTCGGCTACATTTATGACACTTTGTTCTTTGCTCTTCTGCTTTGAAAACTTTCATTTCTTTTTCAATACGCAGCAAAGGATTCAGTGAGAAATAAAGAATTTGTAGCATTTCCTCAAAAAAACCTTTACTAAAAAACATTAACATATATATGTGCGTATATTTATGCGTATATTTATTTTGTTTTCCTTTTTACTCTAATGTACTGTAATAAGTAAAAATATGTAGAATTAGTAATAGTTTCTGAGAAATCATTGCTGCAAAAATTATGCTCACACACACGCAATCAGAAAGTTTCAAAGGTTTTGTTTATTTCTTTTTTTTTTTTTTTTGGTGTATCTGTGTTTTCGAATTTTTAGTTCGGGCTAACGTTAACTAAGACTAATGATTTTTTGCTTATAATATTTTTCGTTTCAATTTGATTGAATATTTAAGCGAATGCAGTAAGAAAGATAATTGAGAAAGGGACTGAAATATGTAATTTTAAATCAAAAGAATAAATGTTTTGCGAGACTGTTTTTGCTCTAAAAAATACTGTAATTTGTTCGCGTTCCTCTAACAAGATCAATAATTACATAATAGAAATAGAAAAAGGTCAAAAAAATTTTCCGTTACAGTAATGGTGTGTTTCACAACAAAGTATTTACAAAATGTTACTATTCAGTCGCTAAGAGTTTCTAATTTTATTACGTAATTCGCCAAACGTAAACGATGACATTGGCAATACAGGTTTCTGTCCTGCAACAAACCAATCCGCCATCTGCATCAACGAGGTAGCGATATTGCCACTCCTAATACAGAGGAGGACATTTTATGTAAATTGTCTTTCTCGAAAATTTTAATAAACATATTTTTACATTTATGAAAAATTACATGTTCGTATTTATATACTACAACTTTGT